TTTTTGTCCACGATTTTGAGTACACAGATCAACCGATTTGAATAATAAAAAAAACATTCTACTCCTACTGATAAGGAAACGTGCTGATTACTTTTTGGCAGTGGCTGGTTCATAAATGGTACTTCAGGTTTTGAAAGAACGGAGCGTCCGTTTTTAATAATTCAAGAAAAAATTTATTTCTATCAAACAATTCAAAATTAATGAAAAAAATTCAAAAACGTCATTTTTAACTGCCCGAAGGAGAAGATTATGTTTTCATAAAAAAATCCGATTCGCTAATTTTATGTTTTCTCGACGTTTCAAACCATTCTGAATCGAATGAGACCAAATTTGGAAAAAGTATGTGTGTGTCTATGTGTATGTGAACAATTTTTTTTGCCGTAAATCGACGTTTTCTCAAAAACGGCTAGACCAATTTCAAAAATTTATGATCGGTCGAGCCGTTTCTTTGTAAATCGCAGAAAAGTGAAAAATTTTTTGTCCACGTTTAAGCCCGCAATTCTCAATCGATTATGAAAATTCAAAAACCGTTCGAAAGATATTGGTTGGGAATCGTACTGATTAGTTTTTGGTAGAGATCGGCCGGACCGTTTTCTTGTAATAAAGTGTTAAAAAAATTTTTTGGACGATTTTTATTATTATTTTTTTGACGATAGATACCATAGTCTTCTAGATCATACTAAAATATTACGGCCCTACGACAACTCGTTTAACTTTAAAAATTCGCCAAAGTTTGCAAAAATTGATTTCGTTTTTTTTGGCATTTGTCAAAATTAGACCTTTGATCGACGTTTTCTCAAAAACGCTGAACCGATTTCCATTTCCAAAAACCATTTGATGTATCTCGATTAAGGATTATCGTTTTGTGCGACGATCGGTCGAGCCGTTTCTTTGTAATTTGGAAAAAAGTATTAAACTTTTCAAAATCAAAAACTGTTCGAAAGATATTAGGTAGGAATGATACTGATTAGTTTTAGGTGAAAATCTACCGAGCCGTTTTCTTGTAATTAACTGTTAAAAAAAAATTTAAGCCGATTTTTATGGAACTTTTTTTGGCGATATATGTCATGGTCTTATAGAACTTACTAAAATATTACGGCCTTATGACAAGTAGTTTAATTTAAAAAATCATCAAAGTTTGAGAAAATGAGTAGTTTTTTTGACATTCGTTAAAAATAAAATTAGACGATTTACTTGGTATAACAATAGAGTACTTGGTCTTAATGAACATACTAAACAATTAAAGTCCTACAAAAAACTGGCTCAATTATAAAAATTATTCATTTTTGAAAATTTTCTTTTGGAAAATACTCCGAGTCAAAGTGTTCGTTCGTTTTCATTTGTGTGTAATAAATCCACTAGTTGAAATTTACTCTTAGAAAATATTCCGAGTTAACGAGTTTGTTCGTTTTCAATTATGTGTTATAAATCCACTCGAAATACTTTTAATCACTCATAATTTTTTTTTTTTTATTGATGAAGTCGATTAGTTACACATATCGGAAAGTTCATGTAACTTGCCTCAAGGCAAAATACCAATACCAACTAGTTATGATAATTTTCAAAATTCTCCAAAAATCCAATTTTCTTAAAGTTTTTAAAAAAAATTAATTTTGTTAAAATTAAAGATCTTATCGCTCAAAACACTTGAGAAAGTTTACATCAGCAAAAGGTGCGGAATAAATCCATCTGAGGATATATTTCTTACGATTAGAATAACGCATTTGAATTATATACATTTTTAAACTGAATTGTAAATTTAAAATTTATATTTGAAGTATACAACTTTGTATATTTTTGAAAATTTTGAAAATTTATCTTCTGAAAATGATGAAATTTGCTTGAACCGTATAAGTAAACTTTAAAAATTAATAATGTTGGTACGTAAGCCAACAAAATTGTAAAAAATGGTACTAATTTTTTAAAATTGTATCAGATATCTGATAATTTGATGTACATATGTCTGAGGATCATTTTTGACCGCCAAATATCATTTTTTTTTAACTTTTTTTCTGTATTCTGAAGCCGCTAGACCTTCCTTAAAAAAATTCTTCAATTCTTCATTTCGTCAATACAATTAACATGTTTTTTGAATCATTCAAATCGGGTTCTCCGTTCTCTCAAAAACTGAATTACCGTTTTTGGCACTTTCTGACCCGTATATTCGAAACGACTGGACTCTGTCCTGTCTCCACCAAAAACTAATCAGCACATCCTCTTAACAATAGTAATCGAATGTTTTTTGAATCATTCAAATCGGTTGCTTCGTGCGCCCGAAATCGTGGACGAAAAATTGTATCCGCACATACACACACCACACACATACATCTATTTTTTCTAAGGTATGCCAAAATGTTCAAAAACCTTCAGAACCTGTAGATATGCAAAAATAACCCTACAGGAAGTTAATTAACAACTTTTACTATCGTAAATCTTACTTTTTTATTAGGTATTTTTGTAAAATTGCTTATTTTACATTTTTGTTTACTAATTTCTTATTGGTTACACCTGCCCAGTATGAAAGTTTAGGTGGCTCCTTTTAGCTCAACCACATGTAAAGCATTCTAGAGGTTATATAAAAAAACGATTGAATCCAACTTTAAATCTTATAAAACAATTAAATAAAAAATACCTAAAAATTGTATTGAGGTCTTGTAAACTAAACAACAGTGCTCAGAACCAAAAAAAAACTAACTAGGAGAGTAGATACTAGTGATTTAGATTTTCAAACACGACCGTTTATCTCCTGATACACATCTTTTTTTAACTTCCCGTAATCGCAAAAAAATCGAAAATGAAAATTTTTATATATCTTTACGTTTCAAAGGTTTCTGAACATTTTGGCATACCTTAGAAAAAATGGATGTATGTGTGTGTGTATGTATGTACGTGTGTGTATGTATGTGCGGATACAAATTTTCGTCGACGATTTCGGGAACACGGATCAACCGATTTGAATAATTCAAAAAACGTTCGATTTGTATTGATAAGGAGACGTGCTGATTAGTTTTTGGCGCAGGGAGGTCTAGCCGTTCCAAAGATACGGGGCAAGAAGTGCCGAAAACGGTAACTCAGTTTTTAAGAGAACGGAGCGTTCGATTTTAATAATTCAAAAAACATTTTACTTACAAGGTGAAGAACCGATCAAATTTTCATAAAGGCAGGTTTAGCGGTTTCGGAGATCTAATAAAAAAAGTAAAAAAAAATGCCATTTGGCGGTCAAAAATGATCATTAGACTAATGCACATCAATTATCAGATATTTTATAGAGATTTTAACAATAAGTATAAATTTGGTTTATAGTCCTATGGGTTCCGTACCAATGTTTACGCGTTAGACGGCGACGCGGCGCTTACGCGCTTTGATATTTTGTCTTTATGCAGTTAAAGCAGTACGATTGCTTTGAAAAAAAGTTTAAATCTTCCAAAATATGTCAAAATAAAGAAAACATTTTTTTTTCAAAAAAAAAAAAATTAAAAAAAAAATTTTTTTTTTCAAAAAAAAGTAATTTTTGGTCCAATTTATAGTTTTTCAAAAATCTTATTTTTTCGAAGTAAATTTTTTTTCAAAAATGTTATTCGTTTTTAAAAAAAAAAATGGTACGGGAAGTTCCAGCAATTTGCCTTCAGGCACGATGCCTTAATTGCCTTAAGACAGAATTCCACTTACAGCTAGTTACGCTTTTTATATGGCAATTTTCATATTTGCATTACTCAGTGTAGAATCTAATATAATTATTTTTTGCAGTATATGAAACCCTGCCTTATATATGATTCATTAAATAATTGATTATTAACTTTCCATAGGGTAAGTTATTGTAATCGTCAAAAAATCGAAATTGAAATTTTTTACATTTCTTCACGTTTCAAATATTTCTGAGCATTTTGGTATATATTAGAAAAAATAGATGTGTGTGTGTATGTCTGGATAAAATGTTTGAAAATGTTCGAAAATAATCGATTCCTATTGATAAAGAGACTTGTTATCAGCTTTTGACTAAGACAGGTCTAGCCGTTTTGAAGATACGGAGCAAAGAGTGCAATATATTGAAATCGAGGTT